CATTGCAACATCTGGCTGTCAATGAAGTCATAGAACGATCTGTAGAATTGAGCGTGATGCCTTTACTGCATTTCGCGCTCGCTAGAACATCGCAAAAAAAATGAACAAGGACATGATTTTGGCTGTGCTCAACTGATCAAATGACTTTCAACAGCGGATATTCGTTTTTCACTGCTTATACCAAAAATGGTAAAAGGCAGTCCTTGTCAGTCTGAGGTGCGGAAATTCCCATTCGGAATCACTAGAAGGAAAACAACGCTGAACATATTCTTGGAGAGTGTTTCGCTGAAGTCAAACAAAGCAAGAGTAGTTCATGCCTTGAGAGTGTTTCGATTTTGATAGATAAACATTTCATTCGCAATATTCCAAGTAAACAATCCTCACCTGCCTTCATTTCTGAATTACTTTGAATTCGGTCTTTTCTTGGTCAAATAAGCAAGGCGCTGAGCAAAATTTTATACCAGATTTGGTGGCCAAGAGAAATAATGTCTGCAACAACTTTAGCGCGCACTGCTTGCCCGTTACACTCGTGAAAAAATTGGATTCAGAGGGGCAGACTGATGCGCAGGTTTTTTTTTTCATTTTTACTGCCCGCCATTTCATGCGAAGGGCTGTCTCTCCCCTATACTTACAAGAAACTCTCTCTGTCCATGTTTTGGAAAACTTCCGGTGGCGGAAAAGGCGGTAAATCATACGAGACTGAAGCTGCTTCTAGCGTCGGTGGTTCCTAAATCGGGTATGTTGGGATGCTCCGCAATTGTCACCACGACTAAAACCTTGTTCACTTCCGGAAGAGTTTTCATGGATTCCTTCGAGCTAGAAGTGCGCTGATCATTCCAGTCAATGCTAAACATGTTTCTTAGTACTTGTCTATTACATCGCGCTAAACTCACAAGCGCTCCCTGCTAAAGTGGACTGGTGCCTGATCAGTCTCCTCTTGGAAAAGATCTTCTCGCTTCCATATGATAGGCTGACTCTCTACCATCGTGATTTCGTCGAGTCTAGCCAGACCAACAAAACGGTCTTCCTACAAATACACAGTTCGTAATTCCGTCCAATCTACATCTCTAAAGTACCGGTTGCTCGACGATATCTATGCCGGTAGTTCGCGAAGTCACCCTAGCGCGACGCGCCCCCTTTTTAGCCGAAGCAGGTGCACTAAAAATTCACCACTTCAAATAAGACATGGTATCAGGATTACAGCCTTGTCCTCGTCATTGTTTGGTTCAAAATACGGTAATAACAAACGAACAAACCTCTTTGAGGGTTGAGGCAAAAGTTCTTCCATGCGCAAGCGTCGGCAACTCTCGGAGGCCGTACGAGCATCGCCTAAAGAATGTCATAACAGCAGCTGCAATTCCAAAACAGTCAGCCTCATCTTTCAAATGAAGCTGAACTTTGTTTGCCTGTTTGTTTATGTTTCAGACAGTTTGCCTGATTGTCGCATCGAGTTAAGAAGTTTAATTTTGACCTCCTGGCAGACTAACTACACATACGCTTGGGAGAGGAATGAGTGCCACAGACTATTTTTTTCGACTAACACCGAGATTGATATTATGCATAACTCTCTGAAGGGTTGAAATTGATAGGGAAGGTAAGCGGGCACGACTCAAATATACCTCATCAAAGTATTAGTTGCCCTTAGTATACTGACATTCTGCGAAACAATAGCTAGGGAGCTGGAACACGACAGGCAGTGAAAAAGTGGCATGTTCATGGTAAATTTATCATGCCTATTCGAAAAAATATCCTCTTTGTTGATTTATCGACTTTTGTGCTTTTTGTTAAAAAGGCAGAAGCGAGGCCAAGGAGTACGTCCACACTGAGATACGATGGAAACTCAACTATACGAGAAAATGTTAACAGATTCAAGTGTTTTCTCTC